CGTGACCGCCCGGCGCTCGGCACGTGACCGCCCGGCGCTCGGCACGTGACCGCCCGGCGCTCTGAACACAGACTCCAGACGTCTATGGGGTTGTGTCCCTCATATCTGCCCTCCCTCTAGATCTCAGCATACATTGTAGTGGACGGACGGGGGAGTTCAGGAAGCAGTCAGTCCAGAGGCTGACATGAGGTGGAATGCTAGTTACTCCCAGTAATGTGTCCTTCTCATTGCAGCATTTGGGACGAGCACAAGCAGTGGAGGACTCTTCGGGAACACGAATACCACCGCCAACCCCTTTGGTGCCACCGCCAGTAACCTGTTTGGAGGCTCCACGTTTGCTGCAGCTCCCTCTGGAACGACCATCAAATTCAATGTGAGTCCCCTCCCACCTCAGAGACACAACAGGAAGCCCCCAGACAAGACTAGTGTCCCCATTGGAGGGTTTCTCCCCCAATTCTGTTCTGGGAATAACTGTAAGACTCTGAATTCCACTTTGTATTGGTGACAACGGGGGACAAATAAAGGGGGTAAATCTTCCAGGGGGGGGCAATAAACACCTGACAGAGCTGCACACCCTTCCACTGTTTATCCAGAGCAGTTCAGTCTCTACATCTGATTTGGGGACTATAAAAGTCCTTAACCACCTGCTGTCCGGGCGGCGGCTTCTTGAGGGCAGGTGGGCGTCTTTAGATGTCCCCTCCCGTTCCGCTGGGGCCCACCACCAAGCTGCGCGCACGAGCGGGATACCGCCTTTGAGGTCAGGTGTTGGATGGGGAGACCTGGCTGGAGGTCAGTAGTGTTGAGGTCAGATCCTGATGTTGGATGGGGAGACCTGGCTGGAGGTCAGTAGGGTTGAGGTCAGATCCTGATGTTGGATAGGGAGACCTGGCTGGAGGTCAGTAGGGTTGAGGTCAGGTGTTGGATGGGGAGACCTGGCTGGAGGTCAGTAGGGTTGAGGTCAGATCCTGATGTTGGATGAGGAGAACTGGCTGGAGGTCAGTAGGGTTGAGGTCAGATCCTGGATGGTGAGACCTGGCTGGAGGTTACCTCCGTCATTGGGGGAGGGGTGCACACACTTTCCTCCATATAGTGTAAGAAGACACAAGACTTGAACTTTAGGAATCGGAGATGTTGGCTGCGGTTCGGCTTTGAAGAAATGTTATTCATCCGATCCTGTGAGCCGGCCGCACTTCCTCCAGCCTGTCTCCTCCTCCACTTACAGCAATGGTATGGTCCTCGGCGTTCTCATGTCATATACACTGTATTGGAGGTGATGACTTGAGGATTCCTAGACCGCCGCAGCGGGAGGGGAGGGGACACTCCAATGAGCAGTTCACCCCTTGTAGTGCGGGGGTTAATAAAATGTCTGGATATGAAGCAAATGGGTTGGATCCGTCTGTCCTCTTGAGTTCTGATACGGGACAGGAAGTGCCAGGGGGCATCACACCCTGTGGGGACAGGAAGTGCCGGGGGACATCCCACCCTTTATCACTTTGTGACCCCCCCCCCTCTGATCTTCTGCTTGCAGCCTCCATCGGGGACGGACACCATGGCCAAGGGCGGAGTCACCACCAACATCAACACCAAACATCAATGTATAACGGCCATGAAGGAGTACGAGAGCAAGTGCCTGGAGGTGAGTGTCCTGTGCGGCCTCTGCAAGTCACACGTCACCCGGCGCAATGCTGAGCCCTTCTGTTCTGTCACAGGAGCTGCGTCTGGAAGATTACCAGTCCAATAGAAAGGGGCCCCAAAATCCCGTGGGAGCGGCCACAGCCGCCGGTTTGTTTGGCGCCCCAACTGCTGCTGCCAGCGCAACCACGGGCCTATTCGGGTCCACGCCGGCCAGCAACACCTTCTCCTTCGGAAATAAGAATGCCTTCGGACAGAGTAAGTGATCCTCAAATCTGCCCCTCTGGCCTTCCCCTTCAGTCTTGTATGTGCCCCTCCGGCCTTCCCCTTCAGTCTTGTATGTGCCCCTCCTGGCCCTTCCCCCTCAGTCTTGTATGTGCCCCTCCTGGCCCTTCCCCCTCAGTCTTGTATGTGCCCCTCCGGCCTTCCCCTTCAGTCTTGTATCTGCCCCTCCTGCCTTCCCCTTCAGTCTTGTATCTGCCCCTCCGGCCTCCCCCTTCAGTCTTGTATGTGCCCCTCCGGCCTTCCCCCTCAGTCTTGTATCTGCCCCTCCTGCCTTCCCCTTCAGTCTTGTATCTGCCCCTCCGGCCTCCCCCTTCAGTCTTGTATGTGCCCCTCCGGCCTTCCCCCTCAGTCTTGTATCTGCCCCTCCCGGCCTTCCCTCTCAGTCTTGTATCTGCCCCTCCGGGCCTTCCCCCTTCAGTCTTGTATCTGCCCCTCCGGCCTCCCCCTTCAGTCTTGTATGTGCCCCTCCGGCCTTCCCCCTCAGTCTTGTATCTGCCCCTCCCGGCCTTCCCTCTCAGTCTTGTATCTGCCCCTCCGGGCCTTCCCCCTTCAGTCTTGTATCTGCCCCTCCGGCCTCCCCCTTCAGTCTTGTATGTGCCCCTCCGGCCTTCCCCCTCAGTCTTGTATCTGCCCCTCCCGGCCTTCCCTCTCAGTCTTGTATCTGCCCCTCCGGGCCTTCCCCCTTCAGTCTTGTATCTGCCCCTCCGGCCTCCCCCTTCAGTCTTGTATGTGCCCCTCCGGCCTTCCCCCTCAGTCTTGTATCTGCCCCTCCCGGCCTTCCCTCTCAGTCTTGTATCTGCCCCTCCGGGCCTTCCCCCTTCAGTCTTGTATCTGCCCCTCCGGCCTCCCCCTTCAGTCTTGTATGTGCCCCTCCGGCCTTCCCCCTCAGTCTTGTATCTGCCCCTCCCGGCCTTCCCTCTCAGTCTTGTATCTGCCCCTCCGGGCCTTCCCCCTTCAGTCTTGTATCTGCCCCTCCGGCCTCCCCCTTCAGTCTTGTATGTGCCCCTCCGGCCTTCCCCCTCAGTCTTGTATCTGCCCCTCCCGGCCTTCCCTCTCAGTCTTGTATCTGCCCCTCCGGGCCTTCCCCCTTCAGTCTTGTATCTGCCCCTCCGGCCTCCCCCTTCAGTCTTGTATGTGCCCCTCCGGCCTTCCCCCTCAGTCTTGTATCTGCCCCTCCCGGCCTTCCCTCTCAGTCTTGTATCTGCCCCTCCGGGCCTTCCCCCTTCAGTCTTGTATCTGCCCCTCCGGCCTCCCCCTTCAGTCTTGTATGTGCCCCTCCGGCCTTCCCCCTCAGTCTTGTATCTGCCCCTCCCGGCCTTCCCTCTCAGTCTTGTATCTGCCCCTCCGGGCCTTCCCCCTTCAGTCTTGTATCTGCCCCTCCGGCCTCCCCCTTCAGTCTTGTATGTGCCCCTCCGGCCTTCCCCCTCAGTCTTGTATCTGCCCCTCCCGGCCTTCCCTCTCAGTCTTGTATCTGCCCCTCCGGGCCTTCCCCCTTCAGTCTTGTATCTGCCCCTCCGGCCTCCCCCTTCAGTCTTGTATGTGCCCCTCCGGCCTTCCCCCTCAGTCTTGTATCTGCCCCTCCCGGCCTTCCCTCTCAGTCTTGTATCTGCCCCTCCGGGCCTTCCCCCTTCAGTCTTGTATCTGCCCCTCCGGCCTCCCCCTTCAGTCTTGTATGTGCCCCTCCGGCCTTCCCCCTCAGTCTTGTATCTGCCCCTCCCGGCCTTCCCTCTCAGTCTTGTATCTGCCCCTCCGGGCCTTCCCCCTTCAGTCTTGTATCTGCCCCTCCGGCCTCCCCCTTCAGTCTTGTATGTGCCCCTCCGGCCTTCCCCCTCAGTCTTGTATCTGCCCCTCCCGGCCTTCCCTCTCAGTCTTGTATCTGCCCCTCCGGGCCTTCCCCCTTCAGTCTTGTATCTGCCCCTCCGGCCTCCCCCTTCAGTCTTGTATGTGCCCCTCCGGCCTTCCCCCTCAGTCTTGTATCTGCCCCTCCCGGCCTTCCCTCTCAGTCTTGTATCTGCCCCTCCGGGCCTTCCCCCTTCAGTCTTGTATCTGCCCCTCCGGCCTCCCCCTTCAGTCTTGTATGTGCCCCTCCGGCCTTCCCCCTCAGTCTTGTATCTGCCCCTCCCGGCCTTCCCTCTCAGTCTTGTATCTGCCCCTCCGGGCCTTCCCCCTTCAGTCTTGTATCTGCCCCTCCGGCCTCCCCCTTCAGTCTTGTATGTGCCCCTCCGGCCTTCCCCCTCAGTCTTGTATCTGCCCCTCCCGGCCTTCCCTCTCAGTCTTGTATCTGCCCCTCCGGGCCTTCCCCCTTCAGTCTTGTATCTGCCCCTCCGGCCTCCCCCTTCAGTCTTGTATGTGCCCCTCCGGCCTTCCCCCTCAGTCTTGTATCTGCCCCTCCCGGCCTTCCCTCTCAGTCTTGTATCTGCCCCTCCGGGCCTTCCCCCTTCAGTCTTGTATCTGCCCCTCCGGCCTCCCCCTTCAGTCTTGTATGTGCCCCTCCGGCCTTCCCCCTCAGTCTTGTATCTGCCCCTCCCGGCCTTCCCTCTCAGTCTTGTATCTGCCCCTCCGGGCCTTCCCCCTTCAGTCTTGTATCTGCCCCTCCGGCCTCCCCCTTCAGTCTTGTATGTGCCCCTCCGGCCTTCCCCCTCAGTCTTGTATCTGCCCCTCCCGGCCTTCCCTCTCAGTCTTGTATCTGCCCCTCCGGGCCTTCCCCCTTCAGTCTTGTATCTGCCCCTCCGGGCCTTCCCCCTCAGTCTTGTATCTGCCCCTCCCGGCCTTCCCTCTCAGTCTTGTATCTGCCCCTCTGGGCTGTGTAATACCTCCCTGGCTCCATCTTTCAGGCACCGGCACATTTGGAGCCAACACCGGAGGTCTCTTTGGCCAGACTGCCGCTCAGCCGGCCACCAGCCTGTTCAACAACAAGCCATTTGGAACGGCAACTACAACCCCCAACACGGCCTTCTCCTTTGGAAGCGCCAACACGTTGGGTCAGCCTCAGGCCAGCACCATGGTGAGTCTCTCCTCCTGCGTCGGCTCGTTGTGCGTCTTCCTCGTCCTTACAGACATTTCATATTTATCTTTCAGGGTCTGTTTGGCAGCACGCAGGCTACGCAGGCCGCAGGCTTATTTGGCGGCACCGCCACCAACACCAATGCCGCCTCAGCCTTTGGCACTGGAACCAGTTTGTTTGGACAGACGACCACCACTCCGTTTGGGGGTGTTGGGGGCGCGGTATGTGTGATATACGTCTTAGTCACGGGGGCTTGCCGGCTGGTATATAGTGTCATTATGTGGGGGGTATGTCTGGGTGTACGGGGGGTTGTATAGGGGTGTGGGGTATGTCTGTGCTGGAGGTGGT